CCGAGGGGGACATAGTAAGGCATATGCCCGATTTGGCTACTTAGGTTGGTGTTTACCCCTATCAGCGTATATCGAGGTAGGCTAAGCGTTAGGGAGTTCGTACCTGAGACTCCTTTTGTCCTTGGCATACTAAGCCTATGCTGGCGAGACGGTTAAGTCATGCATAGCGCCGAGGTCTTCAGTTAGCTCGGTGTGTTGGCCCTTAGGCTAGAGGGAGCGACTCATGGTCCATTCTCCTGAAGTCTGCCCCTACCGAGGGGGTGATTGGGTCTCGTGTTTCCGAGGTCGTCGCTAGCTCAGCGAATTGGCCCTTAGGCTCTAGGAGCGACCCGTGGTCTACTCAATTCGGTAATTTATGGGTAATATTGTCGTAGTAAGACACAGTAAGGCAAAGTAAGGCATAGTAAGACATATGCCCGAACTGTCTTCTGGATGTATGCCGAGGTGAGCTAAGCGTCGCGGAATCTACTGGTCTGCTTGCGCCCTCGATACATCATGTAGTGTGGTGGCCCCTTAAAATTTATTCGCGTCATAGAGGTGGTCCGCTCTCGGAGAGACTCGTGGTCCGCTCTCGGAGTTTTATTGCACCGAGGTCTTTGTTAGATCGGCATTTTGGCCCTTAAGCCCTGAGAGGGACTCGTGGTCTAATCAGTTATAGGTAATACTGCCTTAGGTTGACAATATTCCATGCCCGAGGTACTTGTTCCCCTTCCAGGGTTTCGAGCTCATACGTTTCTTCCCCGAGTACTCGCTTTACTCGGTAGGGTCCTTCCTAGTTCGGACCGAGCTTTCCAACACTGGGCTCAGGCACCATAACCTTACGGAGAACCAGGTCGCCAACGCAAAGAGTCCGCTTTTTGACCCTGGAGTTATAGTACCGAGCTACCCTTTGCTGGTAGGCTGCAGTCCTGATGTATGCAAGGTCCCGTACTTCTTCAAGCAAGTCGAGGTTGGTGCGTAGCTCATCTTCATTCGCCCTGTCATCATGCGCTTCTACTCTCAGCGAGGGTACTTCGATCTCGGCTAGAATGACTGCTTCGGTGTCATAGGTGAGGTTAAAGGAGGTTTCTCCTGTGGCAGTCTTTTCTATGGTACGATAGGCCCATAATACACTGGGCAGCTCGTCTGCCCATAGTCCCTTAGCTCGGTCTAGTTGTGCCTTTAGTCCGCGGAGAATAGCTTTGTTCATGACTTCTGTCTGACCATTTGCCTGAGGGTGCGCCATTGAGGTGAAGTTCTACCGAATTCCCATGTCTCGGCACCAGTTTTGGAATTCGATGTCTTCGAACTGCTTACCATTGTCTGAGATCAGTACCCAAGGTACTCCGAAACAACACACTATGTTCTTCCAAAAGAAGTTTTGCACATTCCGAGCTGTGATTGTTGTGAGAGGTTCAGCTTCGACCCACTTTGTGAAATAGTCAACTGCCACCACTAGGAACCTCCTTTGTCCTGTAGCCGGTGGGAATGGTCTGAGTAAGTCAATCCTCCATTGTGCAAATGGCCACGGGCTAGTGAGGTACTTTAGGTCGGTGGCAGGTCGGTGGTGGATGTTGGCGTGCTTCTGACACTTGTCGCATTTTTTAACGAGCTCGGTCGCATCTGCCTTCATTGTTGGCCAGTAATACCCTTGTCGTAGTGCTTTCTGAGCGAGGGCTCTCCCCCCCAGGTGTCCACCGCACAGGCCCTCATGAGTATCGCGGAGGACGAGCTCGGCTTCAAAGGGTCGCAGGTAGGGGAGCGTGTAGGATCTTCGGTACAGCCATCCGTCTATCATGACGTATTTGGCTGCCTGACGCTCTACCCTCCTGGCGGCATTATGATCTGTGGGGAGGGCCCCGTGTAGCCGAAAGCTCGTGAGCGGATCAATCCAGCTCGACTCTGCTTGAACGACGGGAGCGACCTCCTCTGCCCCCCCGAGAATGCTAGGTTGAGGCAAGTTTTCTATATACACAGTCCTCATAGTGTTATCTCCCATGCTGGCTAACCACGATAGGGCATCGGCCTTAGCGTTCTCTGATCTCGGGACTTGCTGGATGAAGTGTGACCGGAAATTGAGCAGAGTCCCTCTTACTTTGGCTAAGTATGCTACCATGGTTAGCTAGCGAGCTTCGTACTCACCCAGAACTTGATTGACCACGAGCTGGGAGTCACTACAGACGACGATGTGCTTGGCTTTCACTTCCTTTGCCAGATCCAACCCGGTTAGCAGTGCCTCGTACTTTGCTTTGTTGTTGGATGCCGTGAACTCAAAGCGTAGCGCGTACTCCAGTTTCACACCGCTTGGCCCGTACAGAATGATCCCAGCTCCGCTGCCCTACCGATTTGATGAGCCATCTACGTGAAGGATCCAAGGTTCTTCATCCCAGTTCGGGCTTGGCCTAACTAGGTGAGATGCCTCGCTGGTTGCTACTTCACGGCGCTCGAGTTCAACCAGCACGAGAACTCCAAGCTCTCCCGTACTGGGGGCCTCATGTTCCACCGGCCTGGGGACTTCAGAGCTAAAGGTGCATTCAGCGATGAAATCTTCCAAGGCTTGGGCCTTGATAGCAGTTCGTGGTTTATACTAGAGTTCATACTCGCTGAGCTCGATGGCCCACTTCGTCAACCTTCATGAGACCTCGAGCTTGAGCAAAACTTACCTCAGTGGTTTGTTGGTTCGGGCACCTCTTACTAGTGTTGAAGTGGGAGGTGAAGACCTGCACAAATTGCGCCTAGCTCCTTATTGAGCCCGGCATGAGGTTTCGGTACCAGGTGCGGGCTACTCCCTTGAAAGTAGTGGAGAAGGCCACGCACATGCAAGACTCACTCGCCCTGGCCAGATGCATATGGGATTGGAAGGCGTCGACGTGGTCGTTGGGGTCAAAGGACCCATCATACTTGTCTAGCGGGGGGAGCTTGAAGTCCCTTGGCATGGGGATAGCGAGGAGCTCCGGGGACAGAGGGGAGGGGACTGAAAGAAGTGGTGTAGATTTTACCTCTTTTGAACTTATTTCTACTTTGCCTCTGAGCTCAAGCAAGCTGTGGGTGGTGGCAGTTCGGCGAGGTCGGCGGCGTCTCCGTTGCTTCTTGGTCGGCTTGGCATTGGTGCTGTTGGCCTCGGTGTTACTGAGCTCGATGGGCCCAGGGAGAGGCAGGGACGGCTGTCGGTAGCTGCGAACAGAGGGACCTTGTTCCAAGTCATCGGCTAGCACTTCGAACCGGTTCTCTGCAAGCAAAGGTTCGAACTGCGAATGCTGAGGTGACGCCGGCCTGACCGGCTGGGAGGTCCTTGTCCTGACTACAGGCCGTGAGGCGGGGGTAGGGAGCCTTTCCTTCCTTCCATGAGACGATGCCGAGGTCTCCCCTCGGCGGGAAGGGAGTTCACTGCGGCGGTGAGGCTTGGTCGGCTGCGCAGCCGGATGTCGGGGAGGGAGTGAAGGAAATTGTTGCTGATACTGATACTGGGACACTTGGTGCAACACTTGCTGTTGGTGGAACTGAAGTTGCTGGAACTGTTGCATTTGGGCCTGCTTGGCTCGCATGCACTGCATCAGGTCTTCGAATTGACCTTGGCTAGCCATCGGAGGGAGGATGGTGGGTTCAGCAAAGGTTGTTCCAATGGTAGAGGGTAATGGAACGGTCACGGGTGCCACCGTCAGGGGCACATTCAGACTAGGTACCCCGTCCACGGAGAGGGGGACGGTGAACTGCCCGATGCAGACGGTGGGTAGATGGAGTTGTTCCGGCGTCCGGAGTTGCTGGAGGAAGCCATGGTGATGATGAGTTCTTTGAGAGAAGTTTCACAGAAGTTAGAGGAAGGCCTTTTGAAGCGTTCCCACAGACGACGCCAAATGATGCAACACAATCTGGGCACTCCTACCTGGCTGAGAGTTGGCTCCTAGCTGTGATGGACGACACCTGAGAGGAAGAAGAAGATGAAGGGTTCCCGGGGAGCTCTCCCGGAGGGAACACTCCGATGGCTAAGTTATAACTCTGGGGAAAGCTCGAAGAAGATACAGAGAGTTAAGAGTGCTGAAAGTGCTAACTTCAATACCTTCGCCTCGTGAGGGTTGGGGTTATTTTATATCGGAGCTCGGTCACATCTGGCATAACCACCACTGCCCTAGCCGTTACTTCTAGGGCAAGTGTGGCAGGTGCAGGTTGCTGCCACAGGTTGCTATTGCAAGGTACGAACTCGATAGTCGCGCCATGCTTTTCAGAGACGGCGAACAGAACGCCGCATGGCAAGGGATCCGAGCCCTGCCACCAGATCCGGTAGGTATGGATGTCAGGCAGGCACGGATGTCAGGTAGATCTCCCTGCAGCCTACTGAGCTATTGTACGCCGAACCACCTGGGACAGGTTTGCCTTACACCGAGGTGCCCGCACTGGAGGCGGGCCTTAAGCATGTTCGAACAGGAGTCTCGATGTTGCTGCCCCGAGGTGTTTCTCCCTCGGGACACTTAGCCAAAAACCGGGGTGCTCCCTTCTTAGGAAGGGAGAGCTCGGGGCCCCTTAGAAGGAGCTCGGGTCTCAAGGGGAGCTCGGGCCTTGAGAGGAGTTTGGGATCTCCCACACGTGGTGGGAGTTAAGGTCGGCCGGGCGCTAGTCCCTGACGAGTCGCTTAACCTGCCGAGTGGCCAATGTTGGACTCGACGGGTCCCTCCCGTCGAATTATGATTGTACTATTAGGCTGAACTGTTCATCGAGCCAAATCATGCACACGTGTCCCTGCACCGGGCCAAATCACCCTCCATCAGTTGTGGTGGCCGGTTATAGTTACAAACTTGAGAGAGTGGGACTGTGGGAAGGGGAGTTCAAATGAGAGAGGAAAATATTATTGAGTTTTATTATTTTTTGTCTATTAGTGGCTGATTCAACGAGTTATACTATTATTAACCGAGCAGTCCCATTAAACTCCTGTTAACTTACTAAACGACGTGTTCATTTTTCATTGGCAGGTGCACGCTTCCTGTGAAGCGAAGGGTCCTTAGGGTTCGCGCTCTACAAAAACTCCCTTTTCATGTGATTAGGTATTGGTTGGGGTAGGGTATTACGCTCAATGGACCGTTTTTTTAAGTAACGCGTTCTGGTGTTTATTCTTCACAGAGCTCTGTCTCTCTCTCTCGCGTTCGTGTTTCCAACTTCTTGACGATGGAAGTTTTAAAAGAGGATTGCAAAACAATATGGTATCAAATTCGACACGAAGAGAAGGTGATCAACTCGAAAAGGAGGTCAGTATCAGCGTTTGATTGATTGAACTGCAATTTTATATCTTTCACGTGTGTCCTCTACTGTTTTATACTGAATTTCTGTTCTTCTACATTCAATTTAATGTTCAAACTATGCTTCCCTAATTTCTAGCTTATCGCATCGTCACCAAAATCCCATTTGTCTGTTTGATTGGTTCTACGTGTTTTCAGAGGAGGATTCGTGCACTCATATCCTCTGCTGTTTTATACTGAATTTCTAGTGTCCTACAGTCAATTTAATTTTCCAGACTATTCTGCCCTAATGTCTAGCTTATCTCCCCGTCACCTTTTTGATTGTTTGATTCGTTTTACATGTTTTTTGTTCATAAAATAAAGTATGGTTCACCTTGATTTAGGAACTTTAGAGGAATGCGTCTTTTGGTTGGTGCATATTATGGTTGCTCAAACCTTGCATGGGGAAATTATGGTTTCTTTGTTGTCTTTCTGTCAAAAGTTGTTTAATCGTGGGCAGTGCCGAAGTAAGAACAAAGAAGGGGCAGAGAGAAATTGGTTTGGATTTTGATATGGTTTATTGCAGTATATTTTGCTTTTCTGGATTATATAAACTAGGGTGTAGTAATAACTTTTAAATGCTAATGTAGGGTGTCGGGGGAAGGGGCCAATTCTGTTGTTGACTTTTGTTTTTAAACTTCTGATAGTAAAAAAAGAATTTTTATTAAATAAAAGAAAAAAAAATTACAACCAGGTGAAGAGTTTTCACTTGGCAACAATACATCGTGCTTACTTCAACAATTACAGCAAAGGACAGGCTTCAAGAATGTAAGCTTTTACAATTTTCCAAGAAACTTCAAGTAACTGTTAAGCTTTATTCATTAGATCATAAATTCTTGGATATACAAGTGTGTCCACAACCCTCCAAGAGGCTGGTCATAATCCTCGAGGCATAAGATGAGGCTAGGCGACTGAGGGGCACCATTCCTATATTCAAGGCTAACTCCCTATGTTCTATAACAACCGGCAATGATTTTGCTAATGGCTATCAATAATCTTCATCAAATTATAATACATTACTTTATACTTTATTACCTTTCTCAAAAAAAAAAGAAGAAGAAAATCAACATGTTCATGAAAAGAAAATTCAGAAAATATAGCGCCTAAGCCCCTGTTTTTGTCTTAGGAAAAGAAGAGTGCTTTGATTGGATAAAATTTTATGTTCTTCCTTGCTTATTGGTTCAGGTTTTAATGTCTTCAAGGGTGGAAGACAGCATACACCAATAGAAGAAAAATAACCAGCTATAGTTTGTGTTTGATCAATAAAAAACAGCAAAAGTAGGAAAGAATTCAGAGCAAGAGGAGGTAAGAAGATGGAAGAAAGGGAGAAGGAGAAGAGTCAATCATACTACTCTCTCCGGCCCCTAATTACTTCTATGGGAAAATTACAATAAGTACCTGTATTTTGGGGGTAGTGGCATTCAAGGGCCTGAACTTTTAAGAGTGACATCCAAGTACCCTAGACTTTTCAGAAATATACATTTAAGTCCAGCCCTTAGCATTCTGTCAGTTATCCTGAGCAGGTGATGTCATGTGCACTCTAAAAAATTTTAAAATTCCAAAAGTACTCTTCTCAGCTTCATTCTCTCTCTTCTTCCTCTTCTTGAACCTTCTTCAAACTCTCGCCTTGACACAGGAAAATGCTCAAAGACCCACCTCTGTGTGTGTGTGTGTGTGTAGAAATTGCCCCTGTATTCCAATTTATGCAGCTCTGAGGACATTTCAGGCCTGTCCCATTTTCTCCCCAATGTTTTGTATTTATTTACCTGTACCAGGGATTAGTGTGATTCTTGACAAGTTATGAATCTCACTCTCACAGACATGTTTATGTCTTTCTTTTTTCTTCTTTTTTTTGAAGAACTGGAAAGCAATTCTATTCATTGTAAATGTGAAAACAGAGCAGTGTTTTAAAAGTGAAAGGCACACAAAAGACGAGAGGGTCCAAATGCACCTGAGGTGCAAGGCGAGGCACACCTTTTTAAAAATACTTAAAAAATAGAAAAAATATAAAAAACATGTAAAAAATTCTAAACAAATCAGGAAAATTTCAAAAACAAAGTTAATTATTAGTTCAATTGGTTAGATACTTAGATTAGAGGTAAGGTATGTAATCAACAATCTAAAGTTAATTATTAGTTTAATTGGTTAATCAGGAAAATATGCAATCGGCAATACAGATGAAAAATTCTAACAATCAGGGAAATTTCAAAAACAAAGTTAATTATTAGTTCAATTGGTTAATCAGGAAAATATGCAATAAGCAATCTACAGAAATTAGAAATCAGAATTAAATAATTAAAGGACAAAGACTACAAATAACACAATAGCAGTATAATGCATTCAATGATTCAATATAAAATATAAATATAAAAGAATTAAAGAATAAGCCAATAAGAACTGAGAACAATAAAGATTAAAGAAGATATACGAAACAGGAATAGTAGAATACCGAATATAAATATAAAACAATTAAAGAAGTTAAAAGACACTTACCTCTTGGTACCAGTATCCTTTCCATGGCTCACACATAACAAAATCAATATAAAAAATTAATCATTTACAATAATAAGAAAATAAGTAATGAGATTTGAAAATATTAAAATTTAAAAATTGAAGAATTAGTAACTAATGCAAAACATTAAGTGTTAAACTTGAGTCTTAATACCACAATCCACAAGCTATCTATTAAGTATTTAAATATGTCAATATCAATATTCTAATATCAAAAAGGAGGTTCTTTCATCATTCACAAAGCACAACCTATACAAAAGTAAGTTTACTGCCTACAAAATCTCAAAATCATAGTAAGTCATATGTCCAATTAACTCCATTTATCCATTCTTGATTCTTCTTTCCTATATTTCAACACTCATTTTTAACTTTTTTCCAATGTATTCTGTTGGTGGGGAGTTAAGACATTTTACCTTCCCCCTTCTGTACTTAAAGTTTCACATAGTTTCACATCATTAATAAAGTTTCTTGTTATTGATAAAAAAAGAAATTTCAACACTCATTCTTCCTCATGATTTTCCTCTTCTTTACTTGGAAGTTCCACATCATCTCGTACTCCTCAGATTTGTAAGACATTTTCTTATATTTCTTCTTCTATGTCAAATTCATCTTCATCTCCCAAATGAAGTTGGGAACTTGATGTGCTAAGTCTTTTGGAATTGGTTGACTTGGCTTGTAATTGCGAAGTTGAGCATCTAGACCTTGTATATCTTATTGGCTCTTCAACTCCAGAAGCACAAGCAACATCTCCCCATGTCGATGAATCACCCTCAAACACCAAATCATCTTCAGCCCTATCCATTTCTCCCAATAACCATTCATTGCTTTCATCAATATCTTTTAGAGAGATGGGATCGGTGTAACTACGTGAATGAAAACTCTCTTTCAGCATCTGATTGAACTTGATAAACACCAAATCATTTAATCACTTTTAATCCAAGCGATTCCTCTTTTTAGTATGAATTTGTGAATTCATAAAATATCATTGAATTACTAACAAGTTTAAAATTTAAATGTAAAATATAAATATAAGGTAATTTATTCAACTTGTTCTTGTCACTTTCAAACTTTTGGATTACTTTTTTTTGATAAGTAAAAAGGAAAATTTATTAAAAAAGATAAAATGATTACTTTATAGAGGCCATTTATAATCTCTTCAATTGCATCAATTCTTTCCACATCATTATAATAAAATTTGGGATCAATTTTGTGTTGCTAATAAAAAAAGAAAATTAGGATTCAAATAGAAACCAACTGTGTGCAATGTTGGTGAAGTTGACACTCCCACCTCTTATCCACAATCTCAAAAATTTCTAAGATCTTTCCCTTTTTACCATCAAATGCCTTCTCAATTGCTTTCTTTGCCCTATCAACCTCCTCATAGATGTAACCCATACCTGGCTTGTTTTCACGATCTACCAAGTGTAAAACACGAACAAGAGGGCTGCACACCTTAAGTATATATACAATGTTATTCCAAAATGAAGGCATCATTGTTGTCTCTGCAACACTTCTACCCTTAGCTTCCTTTGCCCATTTGTTGTCACTCCACTCAGTAGAATTGAACATTTCCCTCAAGTTCTTTTTGCTTATAAATGCTTTGTAATGTAAGGTAGGAGGTAGCAAAGCGGGTTTTGGCTGGCCTAACCAATTGCTTTTGACTTGTAAACCTTATCATTAAGTTTAATAGGCCAGAATGGTTGTAGATGCATCCCGTTAGTGCTATTGCCCTCTCAATAGTCCTCTTGATAATAGGTAATTTTCCAATGTCTTTTTTTTTGGTAATTTGCCAATGTCTTCCAAAATACGATCCATACAATGGGCAGCATACGGTGTCCATGTCAAATGAGGATACTTAGCCATTAAATATTTTCCTAATAACACAAAATAACAATTTAAGAAGCAAGACATTAAAAACTAAGTAAAAACTGTAAATAAAATAAACAAATTAGAAAATTTACCAGCCAAAACATAGTTTGAAGCATTATTAGTAATTACTTGAATGACATTCTTTTCACTAATCCTCTCAACCATCTTATCAATTAAATTAAACAACTTCTCAGCTGTCTTTATATCACCTGGTGCATTAATGCTTTCTATGAACATTGTCCTGTCTTTATATCACCTGGTTTATTGGCGACCTCGTCCGCCCCCTTTGCTATGCTCACACTAACTTGACCGTTGGAGTCCCCGCCTCGGGTTCGCACTCGGGGCCTTTGACGTTCCCTTCCTCATAGGTATTCGCCCTCAGCCGACCTCAGTCAACCTTGGGTAGACCTCATCGGCCCTTGGCCAAAGTGCACCTTTGGCTCCCCTAGCCCTCGGCCTCAGCAGCCCTTGGATTCTTCCACTAGCCAGCTCGTCCAGGAAGCCCAACGAATTGACTGTGTTGTTCTTGGCCAATCCGAGCATCAACACCTCCCTTCTTTATTACATGTTCCATTGATGGTGGTTTGTTTCATCCCTTTTTTTTCCCTTCTCATCTCTACAACTTGTTCTGGACTAGGTGTTGTCAAAAAATTATCCATAGGCCCTTTTTGTCTTTTAATGGGTGGCTGGGAGTTTGATCCAACAGATTCAAAAGACCTAGGACATCAATTAGAACTACCACAATTAGATAATGAAATAGGTTTTTGATGCCCATCACCACCATGAACTTGTACATCATCATCTTCTTCAATTTCAATCATATTCTCATAATCATCTAAATCTATAATCCTATCCCCTTCTTCCATCACCATGTTTTCTTTTACAGTTCTAATTTCTTCCCTAACTTCTTTAGGGCACTTGGTACATCTTTTAACATTCCTCCTACCACCAATAATATGATCTTTTGCCCTATAGATTCCTCCATTAGTCACCTTTTCACAGAACTTGCAAGCGACTGAGTTTGTATTATTAGGGTCTTGTAGAGAGCAATACTTCCATGCCGGATCTCTCTTATTACTTTCATGTGAAGTATTGCCTTCACCCATATCTAGTTGTATAAAAAAGGAGGAAAACTACATTAATAATCAATCAAAAATAAAAATATAACATGAACTAAAACAAATCAACTAACATAGCTAACTGCTAAAATCTAAATGCTAACAAATCAATTAACAAAGCTAACTTTTTTGAGGGAAAGTTGACCAAATTTCATTAAAGAAAGAAGAAGTACAAAACAGGGGAGGAACCCCAAAAGATTACAGAGGAGGAAGCGTCACTATACAAATAATCCAAATACACCTCACATTTGGCTAAACCATCTGCTATATGGTTTTGTTCCCTAGGAATCTAAACTAAACTTGCATTTAAACAGTCCAAGGAGTCCCTAGCCTCTGCCAAAAAGTGGCAGGTCCCCCTCTCCTTGTCCCTTAACCATTTTATAGTATTTTCTGAGTCACCTGCAATGGTTAAGTTCTGAATTCCAGAAATCCTGCATGATACTACTATATCTTCTTGTCCCCCTGACAATAAGCAAAGGTTTCAGATTCAATTTGATACTCTCTAGACATGTTGGATTTGATGGTAGGCTTTCTTCAAATAAGCATACATTTCATAAGTTGTTTGCATTCTTCGCATAGGTACAACAATATGGGTCTCTAAGAACTTAGAATCTAAGACACTAGTTTTCCATTGTCAAGCTTCCATTGTTAAAATGCTTTGGCTTCAAGTTCATTAAGTTTAGTAACTTTAGAATTCAGATAACCTTCTAGGCCTTTTCCCTTAACAAAAAAAAAAAAAAAATCAAAGTGGAACTTGCACATGCTGTGATCAATCCCATCAAATTTCACTGGTATAATTCAACCTTGTCAGCCATCTTAGTGAGTAGCCACAGTCCAGAAGGATAACAGCAATGGACCCAGGGCCAAAAAAAGGAGAAAACAAGGCAGTCACCCTGACAATACAGATACAAAGTTAATAACAATGATATGGATAATCAAACAGCACCAAAGAGATCAATACTCAGTCAAAAAAAATAGCCAAACAAAGGTGTTAACAGGTGACATTCCAAAAAAAAGTAAGTTTACAGGGCTGTCAAATAAAGAAGAGGGAAGAAGACCATTCAAATCCAATTCGATCTGGAAAATAATTGCAGAAATATTTAAGACAGACCTGGGCAACTTAAGATCTAGAGTTTCAAGTTGAATGGTGCATCTGATCAAGAAAAAAAGGAGAAAACTTAAGGTTGATTGTGATTTTCGAGAAAAAACAGAGGAGAATTTGTGCTGATCAGAACAGCCTCCAGAGAACTTCTAACCAGATGCAAATTAGTCAATCTGGCAGCCCTAGATCTTCCTTCAGAACCCTAATAACAGATTTCAATCAAAGACAGGTTTGTAGGACCTGCTCTGATACCATGTCAACCTCCTAGTTCGAATAGAGAGAAGACAAACAGTTTCGGGGGTGTTCAATGAATCAGTCAACCATCGACCCCACCCCAAAGGGCCTCTTATTAAAGAAAGTTAAATATGTACAATTACAAGGGTGCCCTTATAAAGATGAAAGAAAGAACAAGCAATAAAAAAGTAATGTACAATGTACAACAAGGACTATACTAATAGGATTCATCAAGTCTCTTCACATGCACAATAACACCATTATTTCTGATTTTTCTGTTATGAATTCTGTAATATTTTCATGATGTTTTATCCTGGACAGAGAGAAATTTCTAGTTGTTTTCACAGGAGGTAAAATTATTTGGGTGAATTGGATGCAGGTGGTTGATGGGATTCCCTACATCACCAAAGTTAAAGAAAAAGCAGTTGAAAAGGCCCAAGTTTTTAAAAAATGTGTAAGAGAATTCATCTCATGATTTTCTCATCCAAGCATTAGTAAATAATGGTTGGATAAAAAATTCTCTCATATTTTTCTTTGATGTATTAAACTATGGAGATCACTTTGGCACTTTAATTGCATTGACTTCTTTCTTGGATGTAGAGGATGGAAGATATATTTGGCATTATCATCGTGGCAGTATCCAATAGATGTATATTTTAGATAGGTTTTCTTAGTTTACTTAACTGTAACTTGTCTATAATATACCCATAGATACTTAATTGCTTGACATTTGACTGACATAATTATTTTCGGTGATGTTACAACAGGTCTTTGCCTGAATCCTTGCTAAGGGAGGATGATGTAAGTCCTTTTACTGTTCTGTGCAATACTAATCTCATTAAGAATTTAAGGATTATGTCATGCTTATCTAACACAATGTTTTAAAAACTGAACCCGATGTTGGACCATTTTTCCTTCTTGGTGATGGATTAACAGTTTGATCCAATATGACATTGCATTAGATAATGTCTCACTATTTCAGTGAGTTCTAATTGTTTTAAAAAGGAAGTTGATATTTTGACAATTGATATTATGATATGACTTGATGTCATTAGGAAAAAATAGAGTAGAGGACAAAACATTCTCTTTGTTTTTATTATTTCAGTATTATTTTAATGGTCTTAAAAATGCAACTGACATTTGATATGACTTGACATCATAAAGATAAAGAAAAATTACAGTAAATTAGAGATCAACCAAATCACTCTCTTAATTATATGTCAAGCTTTATGCCTTTGGCTTTCAATGGACCCATCTACCTTATGTTTCACCATGTATACCTATTGACAACTAACTGGAATCTTCCTTTTAGGAATCTCATCCAACATCCTTGTTCAGATCTTAATCATGGCATCCATCTTTTGTGTCAACGCCACCTTTCACTTGGGATCCTGCATGATAGCATGGGGAACAAACATAGAAGAAATATCAAAGAGAAAAGAATAGTAGAAAAGGTAATAGAACATCATAGGACACATGATTACGTATGGGATAAGCAACACATGCAGAAGGAAAGGGCATGGCACATTGGAAAGAGTCAACAATTGGGTAAGTTAAGATTATTATCATTAGTACAAGATGGATCATGGAAAGAGTCAACAATTGGAGTTTGATTACTTCAACCTAGGTCTTTAGACTGGGGTGGTCGATTCGTCTCTAGTGCCACCTTCCTTCATTTAAAGTATACCTGCAAATGTCACACACACCAACTAGACTTGGCAATTGGGTTGAGTTGAGGCATTTTTGGGTCATTTCAGGGTCAGCAAAGGCTAGGCCCTAACCCCCTTTCTGAAATTGGGTCACCTTAACTTCCAACTTTCTGAAATTGGATTCCTTAGCAAGTTTTAGGCCTTGTAACAGCACCATCAGTTTAGCCTCGAGAGAATTCCCTTCTCCTATGGGTCCTGAATACATAGCCAGCACCTTACTCAAGGAGTCTCTAAACGCACCACCAATACCTGCCATCCGGCCCATCTCCAGGTTTCCCATTGAACTCCCATAAAAATTTAATTTCATTTTATCTCTTTCCAGTGGCTTTCATTCCATCATCTCTCTTTCCTTTTGTTTTGAAGAGTGATCCACCTCATTCCAAGCCCTTATAATGTCAATCATTGAAAACAATGGAAGATGTCCAGGGCTTTTATCCAATGAGCCACTCTAATTTTTATTAATTCCACCACTCCTTTGACCTGATCTTCTCATTAAATATTCTTGCATTTCTCTCCTCCCAGATGGACCACACCACAATAGCTCTAACTGCCATCCACATTGTTCTTCCTCTTTTTGTTGGCTGTCTTAGGAAATTTGGGCTGAAGAGGCTCACTACATCCTGCAGATCCATCCACCTGCAACCGAAAAGGGAACAAAAATACTCCCAAATATACAAAAGAAAAGGACAAGAGATTAGTAAGTGGGGTAAGGATTCACCATTTGCAAAACAAAGAAAGCACACATATGGGGACAGAGTCGACAGACATCTATTCAATCTCCTCTTTTGAAGTATATAACACGTGTTCACCTTTCCAAGAAAAACTTCCTAGCACAGTGCTTGAACTTTAGGTGGTATGGACTTACTCCAAATTTCTTTCACTGGGAAATTCTCTCCCACCTCCAAAGGTTGTATGAGTGAATTGAAAAATGAGGCACAAATGAAGATACCGTTAGGGGAGGTAGTGCATATTCTGGTGTTCTCCATGGTTTGGATCAAGAAAACAACCTGGAGTTTATCCAATAACAAGGGCCTCACACTCATTATCTCTTAGCCCCCTTCTGAACCCGAAATCCCAATTCACACCCTCTTTAGAAAAAGTGGCATATCTTGAGATTGGACGATTCTTGTGGTCAAACACTGAATAAAGGCCAGAATAAAGGGAACTAAGAGGGGCGTCAACCCACACCCCACATCATACCTAATAAAATTGAGAAAGGTTGGGTATACTTTTTGGATTTCTTTCCATGGAGATCTTGAGGTAGAGGAGGTATCCACCTTTGCATACCAGCCATTGCTCATCATCCCGCGAATGCTTTCAATGACCTTGTGCCATTGCCTATCTCTTTCCAATGGGAATCTCCAGAGCCACTTCCCAATAAAGATGTATTCCTAAGAACCAAGTTCCCTATACCTAGTCCCCACTTCTCCTTTGGTTTACTAACTTGTTCCCACTTTACTAAATGGTCCCTCGTCTCATCCCCTGGCTCCCAGAGGAAGCCCTCATGTGCTTTTCTAGCTGACCTGCTATCCTAGAGGGTATTCTAAAGGTGGACAAGAAATAAGTTGGGAGGTTGCCTAAAGTTGCTCTAATCAGATTAATCCTCCCACTCATTGAAATGTAGTTCCTCTTCCAAAGGGATAGCTTCTTAGTGAATCTGTTGACCACTGGTTTCCAAAACACTTTAGATCTGGGGTTCCCTCTTAGAGGCAGTCCAAGATACTCCATAGGTCATTGTCTAACTTCACACCCTAGTATCTCCGCCAAACTACCCAAATCTTCCTTCTCCACGTTGATGCCTGCTATACAACTCTTTCTCCAATTCGCCTTCAATTTTGAGATGGCTTCAAAGGAGTTAATAAGCTCTTTTAAGTTCCTGAGATTCTCATGATCACCACCCTCACAAAAAAGAATGATATCATCCACAAACCGCAAATGAGAAACGACACCTCAAGATTTCTAATCCTCCACCCTCTAAACAGGTTGTTTTGATCGGCCTTGATAATCATTCTACTCAACACCTTTGCTATTAGGGTGAAAAGGAAAGGATATAAGGGGTGACCATGCCTCAAACCTCTTTTTGCTGGAAAGAAGTCTCTAGCTACACCATTTATGAAGATCGAATAGTGCACTGAACACAAACAGCCCTTAATCCACAATCTCCACCTCTCCCCCAAGCCAACTCTCTCTAGAATCTCCAAAAGAAATGACCAATCAACAAAGTCATAGGCCTTCTTTAGATCCAACTTACGCACCACACATTATCCACCCTTTTTCCTTATTTCTGCTACACACTCATTTGCCACCAGGATTTGATTAATTATTTGTCTCCCTTCCACAAAGGCTCCTTGAAATTGTGATATTACCAGTGGTAACACCTTTTTTAGTCTCCTAGCAAGAACTTTTTTTTTGATCAGCAAGAAATTTTCATTAATAACAGAGAAATTCAGTTACAATAGATAAAGATTGCAGAGAGACATTAATCTAAACTGCAATCTCCAGCAATCAGTTACAATTTTGCCCAATACAATGAAGATTTATTTGCCCCTTGTTTTGCTAGGGTATCCGCCATTCCATTTGCATCCCGTTTGACCCAACCAAACTGAGAGTTGATCCTCCTTGCAAGTATGTCAATTTCTCTGAAGATAAATTTGCGCTTCCAAGGTACTGATGTGATGTTTTTGGCCCAAGAAATGACCAATAGTGAGTCTCCATCTATTTCTAAGTCTGTTGTTCCTATCTACTCAGCCATCTTTAGACCTTGAAGTAGGGCTAGAGATTCAGCCTGAATTGAGTCACCAAAACCTATTGGTCCTAAGTAGAGTGCCACCACCACACCAAGATGATTTCTAAACACACCCCCTATCCCTGCCCTTCTTGGGTTGCCAAGAGAACTCCCATCAAAGTTTAGTTTTAGTTTTTTCAGTGCCAGTGGCTTCCATTCCATACTTGCAAATACTTTGGGTGCATTTGTTTGTGCTACTTCAGCCCAATTTCTTAGAATCTCATTCGTGGAATAGTTTTTGAATATCTCCATGGTCTCCACCCAATGTGCAGTTTTGATTTTTATGGCTTCAATAACTTCCTCCTTTGTTTTACTTTTTCCAGAAAAAATCCTTAGGTTTCTTTCCTCCCATATAGTCCATACTATAGCTGCTCTTGCTGCCTTCCATAAGCACTTTCCTCTTTTCTTCTGTTGACTCAGGAAAGAGGGGCTGAATAGACTTACCACATCTTGTGGAGGAACCCATTTGCATCCAAAGAGAGAGCAAACAACATTCCAAATACCAGAAGCAAAAGAACAGGATAAAAGTAAGTGGGTTAGGGCTTCACCACAACCCATACAAAGGACATACACATGAGGAGAGAGGCAATTGTTTGGCCTCCTTTTCTGTAGCACATCATAAGTGTTTACCTTCCCTAGGAACACTTCCCAACAGAAAGCTTGTACTTTTGGAGGGATTGGTCTAGACCAGATTTCTTTCACTGTGAGTGAGCAAACCAAAGAAATGCATAGGAAAATAAACCATCAGAAGTTGGGGACCAAACTCTACAATCAACTATAGATTGGTCCAAGTAGACCCTCTCAAGTGTTGAGATCAAAAGCTCTAGAGACTCACATTTATTTTCTCTCAACCCTCTTTTGAATCCAAAATCCCAAGAGATACCCAAATCTGAAAGCAAACCAAACCTAGCAACATGTTTGTTTTTATGATTTGATAAGTAGTAGAGGTCTGGGAATTTGACCATAAGAGGCACATCCCCAACCCAAAGGTCTTCCCAGAATAAAGCTTTATTGCCACGACCAACATGAAACCTGATAAATTGAAGAAATGTTGGATATACCTCAAAGATTGCCTTCCAGGGAGAATTTGGAGCTGCAATGGGGGCTAATTTTGCATCCCAACCGTTATCTTCTTTACCATGAATGCTTTTAATGACCCTGTGCCACAACCTATCTTCTTCACAAGGGAATCTCCATAGACATTTCCCTAGAAGGGCCTTGTTTTTCTTTAATAAGTTCCCTATACCTAATCCACCCTGCTCCTTAGGGTAACAAACTTGCTCCCACTTCACTAAATGATCTTTCTT